ATTTCGATTATATCAGTAAAATTTTATCAAACTTCAGGGAATATTACAATATCTACTTTTTTGTGTTCGCTTTATGTGGGTCTTGTATGCACGCTACTACTTAAGTCACCATTATATTGCACTGAAATTGGATTAGTCTGTTGGACAATTTATAAATAAATAAATAGACCAAATTAAAGTAATTAATTAAATGAATAAATAGGATGCCTCATGTAGAACTCAAGTCATCGATTACTAGAAGTTGACGTTAGATAATTATGAAAAAATTCAGTTCCATATAAGCTTATCAATTTTTCGTATGTCTGTTCTTGTCAAACGATTTGTAACTGTTTTCTTATAGAAGGCGGTCTGCCTCAGTAGACTTAATTAGATACTTGATAATGGCTAATACATGGTGGTAAAAAAACGGATGGAAATTAAATTGTAAAAAATACCAAAACTCTTTTTTTTTTTAAATGCAAACCCCCTGTTTTTATAATCTCATCACCTGAATCAATAAAAATGAGCATGGCTTGTATAAGGTTATCTACTTCGCAAATTACTAGTTTGAGAAATATTTGCAAATACCCGTTTTCTCTCTTTCCATACAGCTTTTTCTATGGCCAGCATAGCATAGGTGGCCGTGACTCGGTTGAATTATAAAAAATGAATCCAAAAGTATGATTGCTTTTATGTGGTGCATGTATTGCACATAAAAAAGAAAGGGGAAAATGAATTACCATTTCTTATTTTCGAACCTCGGTCGTACGCGCGATATTCACTGCCACGTCGGTGCTCTATCGAATAGACTATCGCGTGTATGCTCAATTAAATTTCATACACGTATAGGTTAGAATAATAATAGCTGCATATGCAGCAGCATATGTACACACGTTACTAATATATTGTGCTATTTGCTGCCTGAAAAACCTTCATAAATTGACTCAGATGCGGTAATCAAATAGCAAACGCGCATATTATTAACCATACTGTTTATTATATTTGGGGAAGGTTTTACTAAGTCAAATATCTAAAGCTTTTTTTGATATGTCACACGACTTCGGTAATAAAAGAACCGAAGGTGAGCAGGGTTTCCCATCCTTTTTTTTTGTTGAGGCTCCCCGGACTATAAATTATATTTTCATGCCCCCCTTTACTTTTTCAATAAATACAAAAAGAAACGCACATTAGATAGGTACAAAGACTTTTATTTTAATTATAATAAAGAAAGTTTAAAAGTTTAAATAAACTAATAAACTGTTTTTTATCGAAAAACTTGAATAAAATAAGAGTATGTACTAATGAGACACTTGAGATTGCATGTTCTGTACCAGTTGGTTGATTCTAGGATCTGTTTTTGCCAGAGCTATCATCAGGTCGCTATCGACATAAAGACGATTTCGCTGTTTAGTTTTAATTAAAACTAGAGCAGAAAAATCTGTCTCACATAAGTAAGCTTTTTTTTTATATTCCAACTACCACGAAGGCCTACGGCCTAAACACCCATTGGGTACCGTGGGGCTATAGGGGGATTCAGGGGAAAGGGGGAACGCCACACGGACTCTGGCGAGGGAACACGTGTACATGCAACATGCACACATTCTGGCTCCGCCTACGAGATCCGCCGGGTGGTACCTCCACGTTCGACAGTCAGAGACCGTCTACCACCTACGGACAATCACAACATCCATAGCCAAGAGAAAATTTTTTCCTGGGACGGGACTCGAACCCGCACAGCGCACGGCGACTGATCAGGAGACCGAAGAGTCTACTACTGCGGCCACCGCTGCTGCCTAACTGAAAAAAAGGAACTAGTATTCGTAAAGCAAGAGAGGCAAGTGTCGGATTAACAGGCAATCCTTTGATCCAAAATTTCTCCGATGTTAAAAGATGGAAGTCACCTTTCATGGACGAATCGGCCTTCATTTCTAGAAATTCTTCCTGAACTTCTTCTGGTAATTGTGACTCCTCGACAACAAATGGATTCCTTGCAATGTGTCATATTGGTGACTCTAAATTGATGTCTCGATAGTATCGGAGAAATTCGTCTTCCAGCGGTTGCAAATGAGTTTTTATGTCAGCTTTTAAATTTGCGTCCAGAATGTTATTTTTAATTGCTTCGAACAGCCGAGAAAAATATATAACATTTTCAGAAGATACTTTTTGATTCCAAAGTTGATGCTTTGATATGAACCCCTTGAGCACAATTATATTTGCTTACTATAGTGTTGTTTCTGCCCTGAAGTTTCAAGTGTAGGTCATTCAAGGAGTCAAATATGTCAGTTAAATAAGCCAACCTCGATTGAAATGTGTCATCCTTGAAGATTGTCAAGAAATCGTGTTTTTCTTTGAATCAAAGAAAAAAGAATTACCTCTTCTTTCAATTCATAAAGGCGAGCCAACATGTTGCCTTTGGACAGTCAGCGTACTTCTGTATGGAACAGAAGAACTTTGTGATCAGAATCGAGACCCTCGCAAAGTAAACAACCGACTGTTCAAAGCGCTGCTCTTGATGTAGTTTACAATTCTTGTAGCCGAGTCCAAAGTCTGGCGTAATTTCTCTGGCAATGTTTTGGAGGCCAAAGCTTGCCGATGAATAAGACAATGTGTACTAACCATTGCGGGATTTTTTTCCTTGAGCTTTTTAGCTAAGCCCGATCGTACACCTATCATTGCAGGCGCGCCATCTGTGCAAAGTCCAATGAGTTTCTTCCAATCCAAATAATTTTTTCTTCAAAATTTTATATTGAATTTAATATATCTGCAGATTTAGTACCTGCTGTCAAAGATTGGGAGTACAAAATCTCTTCTTGAATGATATCTCCGCCGATGTAACGAACATAAACGATTATCAGTCTCATCCGTTTGAGTGATTCTGCCTTCAAAACCAGAGTAGGATGTTGTTGCTTCAAATGCCTTTCAAGGAGATTGGGCCTCATGCTATCGTTACTTAAAACTTTCATACATATCACACACTGAGGCAATTATAACTCGTCTTTTTCTATGAAGGTAAGTCCAAACTTAACGTAATCTTCGGAAAGCTTTCTTTTTTTCGCTACCAATTTTCACTTATAACAATAAAACAAATAAGTAATAAATAAATAAGCAAAATACCTACATATAATTACTAATTATATACCCATTATTCTATCTTAATAACGTAATGTATTCAACAGTATATTGGCCACCGGGAGATTTATATTTTTGTAAGCAGGTTGACGTTTTAATAGTAATATTAAATACATTTGGAATCAATATTAGGTACTTAAAGTTCGTCGTTTCAAAATTATTTCGCCACGTTGGTTTGATTTGTGATGTGCTAAAAAATGGCCGATCTATGAACGCATCTCCACTCAATCAACAACTTAGTAAATTAAATAAAAATGGTAACTGAAGTTTGCAAATACACAAACTTACCTTTTAACAGTGAGACACAATAATTTGACACACTCAAACAGATTTCTCAACAAAACATGTACATCGAAACGTCAAATTTTTCGCAACTTTGTGGGAATGAGTGTCACAGATACTCATCCTTGACTGGTAGGTACACGGCGGGGGTGCGCGCGGTTTTTCTGTTGTGACTTGTCGAAAATTGTATAAACTACGACTGACGACGCCGGGTTTTGAAATAGCGGTTGACACAATAAGTGAATATGATAATTAATTTCTAATCTCATGCGTGTAAATTAAACATTACATTGTAATGTTATTCTGAAAACGCTTTCCTCCCCCCCATTGACATCTCTCTATGCCCCCCTTGGGAGGCGCGCCCCCCTGGTTGGGAACTCCTGGTATAGAGGAATAGAAAACAAATATTTGCAAATATATGTTAAACTACTAATCTGCGAAGTCGATAACGTTGTACAAAAATGTCCTTATTTTTATCGCTTAAGATGATGAGATCATTTGAAAAAATTACTTATGGCACCTTTTCAATTTATCTTTGCATCCGTCTTTTTGACCACCCTGTAATATTAATTATCAAAATATCCAAGAAGTTTACTTAAGTAGACCTCCTTTTTAAGGGACCAATTATAAATCGGCAGGGACAAAAATATACGAAAAAGTAATAGGCATTAATGGACCCTTTGTGATTTTTTATAAAAATTTGATATTATCTTGTAGGACTTATAGGTGATAGAGGTTTTGTAATTCTGATTTTCTAATTCAAGATACGTTTGAAAAACATTATATGGCATATTTATACCAAATGTAAGAAAAGTAACCAAGTTATTCCTTAAAAATTCAGGTCTGCACTAACTTTGTACTAGGAGTTCAATGGTGACATTGAATTTGACATTGAACATTAAGTTTTAGGTGATTTTACGGAAAAGTTTTGCATTTTAAATGGAAAAGCTCCCTCAACAATCGAAGTAACGTTACTTTTGATACACCCAGTATGTATACATCGCATTCCGAGAAACCATGTCCCTCATTTCCATTTGTCGGTTTCTGGTGCGTTTGGCCATTTTTTGCGGGAGTCAAATATTAGGGTGATGGGGAACGTACTAACCTTTGGACACCAGTTGACTCGATTTCCTAATGAATTCCTCAATGTGTACTAAAGTTGGCAATAAAATAAGTTACTGCGATGTATACGTAAAATGTTATTATACTGTCCATATTTTATTCGCTAACTGCGTTAGATCTAGTATCCACTCCTGCATATCTATATCTCTAAGTAGTCTTAAAAATTGATTTACAACTATTTTGATGACTATACTTCTCCAGGAGTCACGACGTATTCCCTTAATGAGACATGAGCTATATCTCAGTCAAGTATTATGGAAAAAGTACAAAATGTAAATCATCATTGCAGGATTCCAGGATATGATAGCTCAAAATATCTCTATATCTGAATCACGAGTCAATATTCAATTACTTAGTACAAGAGCTTAGGTATCTAGTAGGCATCTTAATAACTTGTTTACAGGAATGATGAAAAACCCAAGATATAGAAATTTCGTGGGAATGATGATCAGAGCAAACATGTTCACCAATTCTCAAAGCTCAGATAAAACAAGTCTCTTAAATCTAAATATCAGTCATAGAAATCTAGGGATGCATTATCTACCTTAATTGGGTTCTATGACATTTATATAAGTGATAAGATCAGTGCAGTGAGCACTACTAATCCATCCATAAGTCGTATTGTTTGCTAGTTGATTTTTCTCATTGTGTTACAGACATGAAGGCCTGGCTAGTGCTGTTGTTTGTGGTGTATACGATAAGTTCAACAGGTAGGTGTTTCAAACTAGTATGAGATAAATCACAAATCATTGTAGGCTTGATGGAAATTGTAACAAAAGCGACGGTCATATCCTTGAAATTGTGGGATGAGTCCACAAAAGAATTCAATTCTAGATATTTATTCACAGTGACATTTGCTTATTCGCCCAACGCATCATTTGCAAATGTATTTCAATAAAGAAACGTGAGCTATGTCTGATATAGGCCAGGAAAATAACATGCTTGTCAAGACTATTGCAAAGGTCGCAATACAGGAGTAACAAATTCTACCGAGTGTTTCAAATTTGACCCTCACCATTGGGATCTCGGAAACGGTAAGAGAGAGGAAGTAGCTTGAATGAGGGCAAAGCTCCGTGTTTTGGTAACTAACAAGGTGTCGCTTAGAAAGTTTTGAAATTCAAAGTACTTCCGGAGACAGAAGGAAAAACCGAATCCTCCTAAAATCATTTTAATTTTATCCTGACTTTATTTGTCGTGGGATTCCAAAATAAATTGCTCAATAAATTGCCTTTTTTTTCCTATACAAGAAGGTATAATTTCTGTGACGTCTCGTCCCTTGTCCTCCAGTATCAACTTTATTTTTTCTAATGGCATTATTGGATTTTTGCATATATCGGATTACAAACATTTATATTATCTCATACATTGCAAACCCTGGGTTATTAAAAAAATATAGAATTTTCTCGGTAGGCCTTGAAGTTATCAGTTAGTCTGTGTTTCGTATACTTTATTTATTGAGAAATCGTAGTTTATTTCCTGGTTTTATTTGAAATGGGATTTTAAAATAAATTGCATATTAGCATCGCCACTCTTTCTCTCCTACAAGAGGGCGTAGTCAAATTCTCAATTAGATGTTTCTGCTTTCGGTCTCCATGCTCAGCTTTGTTTTCTCTTATAGACTCCTTATTTAAATTTTGCGCAGCCGAACACAATATTTGATTCTGCTTTTAGTAATAAACTTAATACATTTATTTGTCACGATAAACATTACATATTCAATTGAAGTAGTATTTAAATATACAAAATTCCAATATAGCGTCCATATAGAAAAACAAAGTTGGTGTTGGAAATCGAAAGAAGAAATATCGAATTGAAAATTTGAGCACGCCTTCTTGTAGACGAAAAAAGTGTCCAGGTTTGGCAACGTCAAGGTATGACATGTTATACATTTTTGGAATGAGAATTAATAACTATATTCATAGGTTCAAAAATTCAATATGGCGTCCATAAGCAAAAATAAAGTTGCAGGAGGACAATAGACGAAACGTCATACTGAAATTTTGATTATGCCATCTTGTAGAGGAGGAAAACTGGCAAAGTTAATGAGTAATTTATTTTTAAATATCACTATAAATGAAGTCAGGAGAAATCTTAAATAGTTTGCTTTGACTTGTGAAACATTTTAGGCGGCATTTTGTTGGGTACCTAAATACGCAACTTTGCCTCTATCAGTTACTGTTTCGAGATTCCAATGGTGAGGGTCGGATTTGAAACACCCAGTATATAGAGTCTGTAGAATCATAAATGAGGAGTTTCAAGTATTCAGGCACTGTAATACAAATCGAAGGTGGTTATCTTCTAGTAGATTATTACTCAGGAAATCGGGAAAACTAATTGTCGTTTTCAATTTACTGAATAATCAGTGATGGCATCTGAATTCGGTTTAACTGCCACGTGGAAAGTCGCTATTTGAATATTCAATACATACTTGAATTTCAGATCAAGTTTTTCGTAGTTGTACATCGCAGACATATTTTCTTTGTAACAAAGTCATTACAACAATTAAAGAAAAATGATTATAACGGTATAGGGAAGAGAAAGAGTTTTTGTATGTATGAAATTATTTCGCTATAGGTCAAGAAATTTGGAAATTTGTATCGTTAATACTCACCATAAACGTGCTTTTATTTTAGCTTATAAGTGAAGAGGCAATAAGTTGATTGCATCTGCTGCTAGGAGGATTTTAACTTTATATACATGACTGGCATTTCTTGGTAAATTCTGAAAAATATGATTATTAGCTATATCAATTGCAGGCTAACTTAGCAATTTCCGTTTCTAAGTGCAATATGTTAAACTATTTTACATTTTCAGTTGCAAGTCCTGCTAGGGTTGTTTGTTACTTCAGCAACTGGGCGATATACCGGCCTGGTATCGGTAAATATGGAATTGACGATATACCAGTGGATCTTTGCACCCACATCATCTATTCCTTCATTGGTGTCGATGAGAAAAACTGGAGTGTGCTCGTCATAGACCCTGAGGTACGCACTTTTGAGATTTATCTGTTATATATAACAATTTATTTACACGACTTGATACATCTGTTCCTAGAAAGGGCGGAGTTTCAGATAAAAAATCACTGAAACGGTATTTTCTAAAATATTATATGCAAATTAAAGGTTAAGCTGTTTAAAAACAGTACCTTTTTGCAATTTATGTTGGGCCAGGAATAATACATGTACTTTTTTGGATATCGCTTTCCCCCGTTCTCGGGATTTTGTGGAAACTGAATACTAAAATGGACTGAAAAGGTACATGTATACATCATAGCTAGATCTCAGTAATTGGCATGTGTTGTTGGATATTAAGAATGGCCTTCACAACAAAAAGTATAAGGTAATCGTTAGTTTGGAGCTTCTCATTTGAAAAAATATATAATTTGGTGTCTTCAGGCTAGTTAGGCTGTCTTGCAATAACATAAGTTAGCATTGGATTTGTTGTATCTTCAGTTTTGTATCTTGATAGGTGGACGTAGAACAAAATGGGTTTAGAAACTTCACAAGTATGAAGAAGAACCATCCTAAAGTGAAGTTTCAGATAGCTGTTGGAGGATGGGCAGAAGGCGGCTCGAAATATTCCCATATGGTAGCTGAAAAATCAAGAAGGGACACATTCATCAGCAGCGTTGTGGGTTAGTACGAAATACTATTAAAATAGAAGTATGTTTTTTAGCTCTTTTGCATCTACTAAATAACCAAGCAGAATCAGGTTGACCGTTTGGTTTTGTATCGTCAATGACACTAAAAATAATTATTGCAAGATATATAACAGTGAATACCTATATCTGATCTTGTATGTCATATTAAAGATTGATTGTCATTTCCTTAATAGAGAAAATTGCAGTCAGACGATCAACTGAATGCAAATAAGTCTTAAATTTACTTAACATGGTGCCTGTAGTACCACTAACAAAAAACAAAAATCTTTTGTTTTCATGTGAGCTAAGAGCAGGCAGAGAAGGAGTTCGGAGCTGTGCACATTTCAGAGTTGATAAAAAATGTGTAGCCTTAGCATCGGAAAAAACATACTAACTTTGCCATCATCTAGAGGTCTAAAAAATTGGGCTCGTGTAGGATTCGAACCTACGACCTTCATTTGAATAAATTCAGGTTGACGCTCTAACCACTGAGCTAACGAGCCAGATATCAAAAAATCATCATTCTTGGAATTCAGCATACCCAGTATACGAACATGCTTAAGGCGCGCCCAGACGTGCAAGCAAGCCCACTAATGTAGGTCTGTGTTTGAAAAGTGCAGTAGGATTGCAAAGCCTTGCCAGTCGTTATTTTGTCATTGGATCGAAATAATATTGAACTAATATTCGCGAGACTTCGAATCTCATACCGGTGTGACGTTGGCACACAAAATTTAGCGGACAATTTGCCGAAGATACCCAAATGACCAGTGGCGTCGACATCCTCGACCAGACTGTGATTGTGAAGGATACAGATAACAGCAGTTGTACCTCAAAAAATACTCTATTATAGAGTCAATTTATAGGCTAGGTGGCATGGTGTGAGAAAGGCTGGCAGATAAAAAAGTATGTTTATAAATTCATTTTCACCCCCAAGGAAATGATTCCCCAAAATCAGTTGTACTTCAAAAAAATACTCTATTATAGAGTCAATTTATAGGCTAGGTGGCATGGTGTGAGAAAGCTTCTGAAAGGCTGGCAGATAAAAAAATATGTTTATAAATTCATGTTCACCTCCAAGGAAGTAATTCCCCAAAATCAGTTGTACCTCAGAAAAATACTCTTTTATAGAGACAATTTATATTCTAGGTGGCATGGTGTGAGAAAGCTTCTGAAAGGCTGGCAGATAAAAAAATATGTTGTTAAATTCATTTTCACACCCAAGGAAATGATTCCCCAAAATCAGTTGTACCTCAAAAAAATACTTTATTATAGAGACAATTTATAGGCCAGGTGGCATGGTGCGAGAAAGCTTCTGAAGGGCTGGCAGATAAAAAAATATCTTTGTGAATTGAATTTTATGAACATATTTTTTTATCTGCCAGCCTTTCAGAACCTTTTTCACACCATGCCACCTAGCCTATGAATTGACTCTATAATAGAGTATTTTTTTGAGGTACAACTGATTTTGGGCAATCATTTCTTTGGGGATGAAAATGAATTAATAAACATATTTTTTTATCTGCCAGCCTTTCAGAAGCTTTCTCATACCATGCCACCTAGCCTATAAATTGACTCTATAATAGAGTATTTTTTTGAGGTACAACTGATTTTGGGGAATCATTTCCTTGGGGGTGAAAATGAATTTATAAACATATTTTTTTATCTGTCAGCCTTTCAGAAGCTTTCTCACACCATGCCACCTAGCCTATAAATTGACTCTATAATAGAGTATTTTTTTGAGGTACAACTGATTTTGGGGAATCATTTCCTTGGGGGTGAAAATGATTTTATAAACTTCTTTTTCATCTGCCAGCCGTTCAGAAGCTTTCTCACACCATGCCACCTAGCCCATGAATTTTCTCTGTAATAGAGTATTTTTTGAGATATAAATCATTTTGGGGAATCATTTTTTTGGGGGTGAAAATGAAGTTTTATTTATATTTTTTATCTACCACCCCTTTAGAGATTTTCTCAGTATATGCTATTTAGCTCATTAATTACTTTCAATACCATATATACAATAATCCGTGAGTGAAAATTCGAAGAAAGGTTTTGGGTTAACTCTTGTTCCTGCGAATTATTTAATTAGGGTGGAAAATGATTCTTCCTATAGGGGTGCTTATTCTCGTGCATATACAGGGTGTTTCAGTTTATTGCTGCATAACTTTAAGATTCGATAGAACTTTTAAAATTAATGCATAAAGTCTCTATAAACATGGGTCGAAAAATGCGTGGCTTCCGAAATACAGGGTGTTTAAATTTACTTTCTAAAATAGTTTTTTTTTTAAATATTTCGAACAATATTTGATGTATAATAGTGAAAATTGGTGAACAAAGGTTTTTTGGTACGACAAAACGAACCATGGGCATAGTTTTACTGTAGCCGCTAGAGGGCGTTCTCTACTGTACCTGTAGTGTATTAAAATGACCGAAAAATTTTTCTTAGTGCAATTTTTTGCTTTTTGAATGAAAAAACTGATTCCTCGCACTTTTCAACATAAAAAAGCTCTCTTGTGAATTTTCGTTATAGTTAGCCGTTTTTGAGATATTTCGATTTTTAAGGTTCGATGCATTTTTAATTATTTATGATAAAATAACGTTAAAAAGTCCGTATCTCGATAATTTTTAGAAGTAGGCTGTGCCTGCAAATATTTTTGAAATTGAAAGCAGAATAAGGTTAAACGTCAATTAGTTGACAGTTAGTTTTGTTGTCTGTTGAAACCTGAAACGTTTTTTTGCAATTGTGAATGCACGAAATTTAGTTTCTTTTACCTCTTATTTTTTTGTAAGTTTTTTAAAAATGCCATTTTTATTCTCCAATCAAGTTAGCGGATATTCATTTTGTGTATGGCTTTGTAAATGGAAACGCAGCAGAAGCAGCCAGAGAATACGCACGAAGATTTCCAAACAGACGACATCCAACTCGCTCAGTATTTGTAAGAGTGCATCGCCAAATAATTGAAAATGATTTTGGAAATCTCCAAAGGGATCAAAACATAAATGTTCGTCAGCGCAGATTAACCCGTATGATTCTGCGTGAGTTTGAGATCCGACCACAAGTGTTAGGAGAGTTTCTGGTGCCATGTTCACTGTGTTCTTAGAAATGACCATAGACGTCCTTACCATTTGCAACCTGTGCAAGACTACAGCCAGGGGACGGAGAACGAAGAATCACATTTTGTCAGTGGATTCTTGATAGAACTGATAATAATAGGGAGTTTTTAAGTAACGTTTTATGAACCGATGAGTCATGCTTCACTGGACGTGGAGTGGTAAATTTTCATAATCAACATATTTGGTCGCATGAAAATCCGCATGCAGTTCGGGAAAGAAATTTTCAGCATGAATTTAGTGTACACGTGTGGATTGGTATCTGCCGTAATCGACTATTTGGACCCTACCTTTTGCCTGCAAGGTTAAATGCTGCGACCTTCTTGGATTTTTTAAAGGCTGAACATGAAAATATGTGGGATGATGTTATGTTAGATTTAAGAAGATTGGCCTGGTTACAGCTTGATGGTTGTCCAGCTCATTATTCGAGAATAGTTAGAAACTGGCTGGACGAAAATTATCCAGAAAGATGGATCAGCCGTGGAGGACCAGTCGCCTGGCCTCCACGATCCCCTGACCTAAATCCATTAGATTTCTTTGTGTGGGGATTTCTAAAATAAAAAGTAACCGTAACCACAAGAGATATGCTAATAGACAGAATCAGGAATGCATGTGATGAAATAAGGCCTTATTTGAATAATGCTATACCACGTTCGATCATTCGTAGATGTGAATTGTGTATTGAACAATTGGGTTTACATTTCGAGCAACTACTTTAGATTTTGTATGTTTGTCCTAACTATCCAAAAGCATCCAATATTCATTTAATTTGTTAAAAATAATATTGGAAAATTAAACAAATTAATATTCTGTTTTTTGTGTTTATTTGGAGTTAGGAATTATTGCTGAGTTTAAAAACACAATCTAAACGACCATCTTTATTACTTGTAATGCCCAAATCAAAAATGTAAAAAAAATATTATTTTCCCATAAATAATTAAAAATGCATCGAACTTTAAAAATCGAAATATCTCAGAAACGGCTAACTATAACGAAAACTCACAAGAGAGCTTTTTTATGTTGAAAAGGGCGAAGAATCAGCTTTTTTATTCAAAAAGCAAAAAATTGTACTAAGAAAAATTTTTTGGTCATTTTAATACATTACAGGTACAGTAGAGAGCGCCATCTAGCGGCTACAGTAAAACCATGACCATGGCTCGTTTTGTCGTACCAAAAAACCCTTGTATACCAATTTTCACTGTTATATATCAAATATTGTTCGAAATATTTAAAAAAAAACTATTTTAGAAAGTAAATTTTTACACTCTGTATTTCGGAAGCCACGCATTTTTCGACCCATGTTTATATAGACTTTATGAATTAATTTTGAAAGTTCTATCGAATCTTAAAGTTATGCAACAATAAACTGAAACACCCTGTATATTTATTGTTGCGAGCTGTTAGCTGTATCCTTCACAATCACAGTCTGGTCGAGGATGTCGACGCCACTGGTCATTTGGGTATCTTCGGTAAATTGTCCGCTAAATTTTGTCTGCCAACTTCACACCGGTGAATCTCATAACGTCGGCATGGTTCCCGAATGCGATGGTATAATTTTCTGTTGCATGTCTGAACGCGCCTTTACCCAGTGCTCACGAAAACTATATTGACGCAGTACTTCTCATATTCTCAGAAGGACGTGCAAATATTTATAGGGTAGAAAGTACATCTAAAGGTAACAAAAAAGTTTTCACAAAGATGGGTTCCAGGATGCTCTCCTATCGAAATACAGGGTGAAGTTTTATTTAAGAAATTGAAAAAATATGTACGGAGCAGACAAAGATACTGAAATCAGATTTTAGACCTTCAGTGAGCACGTCATAAGCAATAAACATATACAGATTCCCGGCCCAAACAATACCAGGCATGTAGAAACTGGGCTACCTGGAGAGAAGAAAATATTTTTTACGGCGGAGAAAAAAGTGCATTTCATAAAATACCAATTTTTGTCAGGTTAATCGTTTTGGAGATATTTAGGTTTGAATGTTTGAGGTAAAATCCTAAAATGTTCTTATGAAAAGGTTTAGCTTCCTCTATTTTGAAAACCTTAATTGAATAATTAAACTTTTCCTGCGGACGCCACTGGTTTTGCCGGCACATTCATTTTTGTTTAGAGATAAAGAAACATCAAAAATAAACAAATAAAGCTAATAAAAATTAAACACAATGAACATTAGGTTTGATACAACTTATATGGCTATTTATAAATTTATGAGAAAATAAAACTGGGACCAAAAAATAATGCTTAATAAATGCTATAACATCCAGCCTAAAGGAGGTGTTGAAAGTGACCAACCACCTCGAGATTCAACAGAAGCCCGTGCTCTACACCACAAAGACTCTCTGACTCTTTGGACAATATCTGGCGTAGTACGAACAGTGTTGAAAGCCG